ATAAATATTGTCTTATATACAGGTCGTTTTTATAGTGAATTAAATTGTAAGACAAGCAAGCGTTGAACTGATAAAAACGATCTGTATATAAGACAACTATTTATAAACATTCTGTGGTGATTCTTGTGTAGTTATGATTCCTGAAAACGAAATTTTATAATAAATATTAAAAACACGGTAATACTTAAAAAAAACTCATTAATTCACTATTATCTAACTATAAAAAGCAACATTAGAATTTGAGCGAGTTTTCGTATTCAATCGGAAACTTAGAAAGAACACATTTAAATGGTAATAATATAATGGAATATACAATAAAATGTGTGGCATATACGTTTAATAAATAACATTGTTAAGAAAACACTATTATAGAAAAAGGCTTAAATATAAGTATAAACACTGTATGTTTAATATAATAATAAATATCAAATAAAAACACTGAGGATCTGGAACTGATTGAATTAATGACAACAGGGAGATGTTGATGTTATTATTTAGTGTTGGGTGTTCACCGAAAATGGAGAGGCATAATGTAATAAAGAGTTCTTAATCTGTAGTTCTGGAGTTGAGAATTTTAATGTTTTCTAGATGTATGGGGTGGTTGTTGTTCTCACTGTGCAATCAGATACAAGACTCGGGTGGATTAGTTAGCTTGTTGAAATCCCGTGTGCTCACGTATTTGTAGGGTTTTTTATTATCGTGTTTTTATTATTTATTATGCTTTTTTTCGGTGTTTAAAGCTAATCACTGTTGTTATTAACATTCCCTACAAATTATATTTTTCAAAAAGAACAAACACAATTTAAGTAATTTAAATTGATAAATCTAACGTACGGTTTGAGTTCGTTTTCTGTGTATTTGAGATTATTATTTGTATTTATATTACGTTATACTTTTTAGTTTGGGTGCTCAACATGATGGTTACGGAAACTCTTGCGATAAGGACGCCTTTCTAATGTCAGCAAAAACCGGAGCTGGTAAAGTCTCATGGTCATCCTGTAGCAATTTGTATATCCAACACTTTTTCAGGTAGTAATCGTTTCTCTATGATGTAAACGTTTATTATAACTACAAACAAATAAAAACTTTGGGATTTATTATATTACGTAAATCTTGCGAGTGAGAAACGGGTAAAGCCAGCAGAATTTTCAGTGTGTGCAAAAATGTTTGGACACAAAAATGTAAGCTAATTTGCTTTGACAAATTTATTTGAAAACATTTTCTGGAGTCGTTTCAGTTCATATTCCTGAAAGGGGCTATAGTTCCTTCGTCAGCTCTGATTTTTCAACAAGCCTCTCGAACTCATTTTCGACAAGCCAACAATGCACTGTTGAAAACTGACCAATTGAGTTATATTCCTGTGGTTGTTGAAACCTCTCTTTCACGAATTGTCTGTAGTTGCGGAATAACACGAAACGTTTTAAGATCACCGTATTGTAGCTGTTTACTGACAAGGTTGATATTATTCAGCAAGTCGGCATATACAAAAAAGGCTACAGCCACAAACGTCAAACCTATAATCTCGACAATAAATGTTTTAGCTTTAGAATACGGCTTTTCTCTACTGTGTATTGTGAGGGTTTTCTCTTTTGGAATTGCGATCGGAGCTTTTTTCCATCTGCGATGGAGTGCACGAACACTATGAATGCTACTTTGAAGTTTGGTCTGGACATTTGTGCAAAAGTGTTAATATTCGGTAATTGAAATGTTAAATTTATTATGTTTTGTGACAGCACTCTATTCAAGTAGGCCCGGCATGGCCAGGTGGATAAGGCACTCGACTCGCAATCTGAGGGTTGGGGGTTCGAATCCCCGTCCCACAAACATGCTCGCCCTTTCAGCCGTGGGGGCGTTACAATGTGACGGTCAATCCCACTATTCG